CGGCTTTAAAGTTGCCTGCATCAAAATGCATCCAGCTCGGAGCTCTCTTACTGTTCCCAGGTCCTGATCAAATACAAGAGCAAAATTTAACTTGCTAATGGACAACTTGCTTTAAACCAGTACACATTTTTCACAAATCCCCTCACCCAATCCTGGTCATTATGCGCTCTTCTGAACCTTATACTTGGTTTCAGTACATCTTCTGAGCCATTCCAGTATATTGTAGGAAAAAGAGCACCATTTTCAAACACAACTTGTGTTATCTCTGGAGTGCTTGGAATCACTGAATAAAAACAATGTCATTAAATCAACATATGATTGAGGCTATAGACAAATATGCACAGCTCTGGTATGTCAAAACATTATACCACTTTTACTGAGCAGAAAAAGAGATCATGATATGATCAAAAAGGAAAGTGCTTCAGAAATGAGTTGGTGTGTGTAGTTTAGTCTCTCACCAATGTCCCAAATCGAGAAGGGGAAATTATAGTGTGACTCTCCTAATGCATTTTGACCTCTTACATGGACTGTGTAATTCAGGTTCTCATCAAACAGCGATCGTTTAATAGAGAAATTACGGCCCTGGTCCATCTTATACAGGAGAAATTGAGATGTACTGTTGCTTTGCAAAGAGAGAAAGACATTGAAGAAAGATAAAGTATAAGAAAGGCTGTTTCGATTTTTAATGTTTGAGAAAAGACAGTCTCATTCTATATTACTAGACATACTTGATGTCATCAAACTGTCCAAATAGGACATACTTACTAAAATGTCACGCTGAAGTTTGTAGATAAATGTGTTTCGGTTGTGACCGTCAGAGAGCAGTTAACAAACTCTGAATGTTGGTATGTGACGCAGCTGATATTCGGTTTACCTGGAGGGTCTAAAGCAGAAAATGAATTAATAGCTGATATTATTAACCAAAAACTGTTAACTGTAAATGTTCACAACTATTCATAATTTTGAACAAAAGAAAAACAAATTATTAGCATCATAAAGGCATTATTACAATATACTTTCACGCATATTCAAATAATTAGAAATGTCACAGAACTTCGATTCATGTATTTTCTTATATATTTATATTTCATGTACATGAACTAAACATGTAGAGTATTTTTTCTTCTTTTAACCCTTAAAAATCATTTACATTTAGTCGGATTGATTCAGTCAATACATTTTTTGTCTTTAATAAAATATGGAGATGTTCATGTAATACAGATAAACAACTACAACTTACAGCCAGCTTGGAGATCTCTGCCGCAAACATTGTGCCATGTGTCTCCCTCCTTCACCTTGCAGAGTAGAGAAAATTTGGGCTGATTGATGAATATTTGTGTTTTTATTACTGAGCAATTCATTGCTTTGAAAATGGTCTTTCTGTTATAATCTATGGCAAAGAGTCTGCCACAGTGCCCAGTGTCTGATTGGCAGACTACAGTCAAGTTGGAGCCCATGGGGATGACATCCGAGTCTACTATCAACTTTCCAACACATCTGATTGTGTAGCAGTCTAAGCAGAGAGAGAGAAAGCACTATTATTATAAGCTTGATCATGGAACGCATCAATATAACAATCACAATAACTTAACTCACCACAGAATTTGCTGCTGAAGAGGAGTAAAAAGACCAGTTGCCAGACTCTGATGACAAAATCCATGTCATACCTTTCTGGGTTATCAGTGAATATTGAATCAAATACTTCATGCCTAGTCCTTCAGTTTGTTCTGCCTTCTCTGAAACAAACCAGCATGTCATCAGAAAGAAATGAGGTTACCTTGCATGAGGATGTCGCATAAAAGGGGTCACATCTGCGCCCATATAAATATCAAAGCATAAAAAAACCCACCAAAGTAGAACGTTACCAATGATACGCTTGCAATATGTTTATACAGTCAGCATTCTCATAAGCGATAGGCTACTTAATGTTACAAGCGTAGTCTTTTTTTTTTTATGTCAACCTAGTTTTCTCAGACTTGCCTTGCTCTTTTAAGGGCCAATGACCTAGATCTGTGGTATTTTTGCCTGTACTGAAACTCTGAAAGTCTGTTTTATCCTACTTACTAAACCACATTTTTAGTCAGCACCGTTTATGTATTATGTGCAATTAAACAGTCAGACTCTGTACAGCAAACGTGAACTAAAATGCGCAGATATTACATTAACTTTACCTTTGACGTCATACATTACAGAATAATGTTGAAAAAAATATGTAATTGAAAGATATCATAAATTATATCTAGGCAGAAGAAGGGCATGTGTCAGCTATATTGTAGAAAAATACTTTTACAAACCTTTCGTAATGCACTCAGAACAGTGATTTCTCCATTTGGGCTCCTCTGCTGTTGCCATCAAAACCATGTATCAGCTGCTTTACATAACATCAGGTCACTTTAGGAATATGAAAACAATACATTTTAATTCAGCAAATCCTTGTCTTCGCATCTTCATACCTGTATTTTACAAAATAGCTCTGTTGATATCAAAAATATACTTGAACGTAGCCTACTAAAGAGAAAAATATGAAGTTTTGGAACATCCAAAATAAGCCATGTCCTCAATGCGTTCCCTCTCGCATGTGCTTAGCGTGTGAAAACAACACCACAGAACAACCTTCCTGTCTGCCCTAGATTTTTGATCTCTTTATTCTTTAGTTTCCATCTTCAACTTCAAAGTGTTATGGGGAAAACCCACTGACAAATAGATATGGAGAATTTGAGATAAAGAGTCATTTAAAGAATGCACGAAATATGAGTATAATAAGTAGAAGTGTTTATAATAATAAACAATACAAATAATTAACTCCACATAAATGGTGGGAATGTTTACTGTATAGGTGTGGGAAATCAGAAAAGAACAAAACCAAAGAAAACAACGTGGTTAGTGCCAGACCCACAATAACAGTTTTTTACATATAAACCACAGGAAAGACCATGTCTTACATAAAGTAAGGAGGAATAAAATAAAGAAATATTAAGATGACTAATTATTTGTATGTTAAAATGTAATACATTTCCTTGTTACTCATATCCTTTGTCACATTGATTGCACAATTGCTGACCTATGTACTGATTTTATCTCAGGAGTCATATATCTTTAAAAGTCATCTATCTCTGTTAGACTCTTTAAATCTTTTGAAGCAGGGAGAAAGATTCATAACCTATAATAATGGATGATTTATCAAATATCACATAAAAAAAATAATGAAGAAAAGAAGTCAAGAGAGTTTAAAGAGCAACTTAATCATATGTCCTCATTTTGTAATATAAAATCAAGCGTGCACAAAATATGTGTGTGTGTGTGTGTGTGTGTGTGTGTGTGTGTGTGTGTGTGTGTGTGTGTGTGTGTGTGTGTGTGTGTGTGTGTGTGTGTGTGTGTGTGTGTGTGTTTTGACCTCAATTCGTTTTTCAGAAAATTAGTCAGCACCAATCAGTTAATACCTAGAAAATGGAGCCCTGTTTAAAATATCTCAGGGACGATCTTGTGAGCCGGATCCAGTCCGTATCCACACCACATGGTTGGACCTGGACCCCAAGACAACCACAACAGCCCTGAATGTCAAGCAGAGACCACAACTAGACAAACTGTATGTGCAGAAGACCTCATCAATATGACAGCCATCAGTACAGATTCTCAATAAAAACAACAAGAACAGACAAGTCCTCTGCATAGACCCATATAATGTATCCTGATCTTTAAGCAGAAGGAGCTGAATACTCTGAATAATATCAATCCACCATTCTGACTTGTGATGCAGCCAGGAATCACACCATGTTGGTTCGTTTGGCCAGAGGAGTACTGGGCTCCTGGCTGAGCCCGATTCTCACAAGGTTTATTTTAATATATGAAATTTAATTAGTCAAAACGTTTAGAATATATAAGCTTATTCGTTTTATAGCCATGGCTCTAATAGGTTACATGTTACAATAGGCTACAAATGGTCTAGAATTTTAAAAGGTTTATCAAAAAACTCAAAATGGCTTGACTTGAAAAAAGAATTTTGATTATGGTTGTGGAGATATTGTCAAAACATGAAACACTGAATCTGTTTGTATACAATATTGTATTTGGCTATATGTTAGCTATATATTTCAATACATAATTTAATGTAGTGAGTATTAAATGTTTTCAATTTCGCAACACATTTAAAAAGTAGAAATTAGAAGTGATAAGTCTTTCGATTTTCTCTAAGAAACTCTAAAATCGGCTCTATGTTTATGATCATGTCTGCTCCTTCAACAGGTGTGGACCAGTCACCTCCAAAAAAAGCAGAAAGCCAGGGACCAACTGTTGGAACCAGTCAGCTTATTTATAAATGTTTATATTTTATATGAATGTTTAAAATAAATAAATAAACTGTCTCTATAGGCTAAAAGTGTTAAAAAGACCCTAAGCAGAAGATTATAACAAAGTGCAATTCCCACATCCCACAACTAATGGTTGACTACAATCGTTGTATAACACTACAGTTTCACTACACATTTTCTTTCAGTTGTCTATTGTTTTCTTTATGACAGATTTCAGTCCAAGACAAGAAACTTGAAAATCTTGGGATCTTTTATTTATTGGGGTGCCTATCAAACGACCCTTTCTTACGTTTATCAGTAGGCCTTTTGTTTGCAAAAACTACTTTCAACAGCATTTTCTGTTTTATTGGATTTTCCAGGTAATTTAAAATACAATGTTCCTAAAAGTTGATTCTAGTTTGATATGTGGTTATAGTTTAGTATAAGTTGTCTGGAAACATTTTGTGCTTAAATCAATGCATAAATGTTTTTATGCAAAAACAAATCTGTTTTGTTAGCTATGTTGAGCTACTGAATAATAAATATGAAAAAAACCTTTCCAAAATCTCTCCAAAATTCCAGTTCATCATGATCACCTTGCCAGTCGCTCTGTGGGTAAATAGCTTTCAGTCAGTTGCCGCAGGATGGCGACAGAGAACACCATGGTTTCGAATGTAAATGAGATGTGTCGTCACAGCATACGTAACACTGTAAACATGGCGGAAATTCAGATTTGTCAACGTGGGGAGGAAGAAAGGCGCTGCGTTCAGAATGAAGCAATGTGAGTTAGGGAATGAAGTGGCAGGGATGGCGGACCAAAAGTTAACGGTACTCTTCAAACTTTCAGCAGCGGTTTTTTATGGAATCAGCTCTTTCCTTATAGTTGTAGTGAACAAGAGCGTTCTCACTAATTACAGGTAAGAGGACTTTAAATAGAGTTACATACTCTGTATGTTACAAAGAGCTTCACTATCTGTCTTTGCAGAATAATTGGGATAGTTGGCAACTTCGTTTTTGCAGCAGTATCATTCTGTTAAGGAATAACGCTGTTTTCCATTTGCCTATTTGAAAATTTATTGTGAAACTGAGTATTTGTCTCGCAACAAATTGTTATTACAATACCTTAATGGAAAAGTCGAGTTAACCCCTTTAGACATACCATCATGTATTCTTTAGCGGTATTTTTGTACGTTAATATTAATAGTATTTTGTAGTATAGCCAATTAAGACATGTTCCTGGATCAATATATTTTGTTCATCCTAGAACAACATTCCTGATCGAAAACACTATCTCTACCCCTGAATTTAACCATAACTTATCCCTAAAATCAGAGGGAAAATATAAGACTGATGTAATAATTGAATCTTGGAACAAACTGTAAACTTGTCTCTCAAATTTAATTTGTTGTTTGGAATGTTGGTTCAGGATCAACAATGTTGATTCACAGTAGGTTGCTTGGCGAAAACACAATCATTTAACCATTTTTGTACAAGTAGTGAGCCGATTACCTGGCTGGAACAATTTTAAGGAGCTGATTATTGTTTAACTTAAGTTGCAAGAGGGTATGTAAATGATGTACATTTTAGAATAAACATGCAATTGTTAAGTGTTAAGTATGGACTACTAAAGTGAGTCATTGATTGAGAATAACATTTCACAATCAATAGAACATTGCATGTGAGAGTCTATTTTTATAATAGCAATCACAAGTTAGTAATAATGCTACTTTTACATTAAAAACATACTAAACAAAACCTCCACACCTTCAGCCTTTGCTAAAAGCAGTCTTTCCAAACAGGTTCCCCTCTTCAATATGTGTTGGCATTGGGCAGGTAAGTTTCTGTTTTTTTCAGATACAAGTTTTTCTCACTTGTCGGTGCCATATATTGGACTTTACACATTAATAGAGCAGAGCAGCATTTACACTGTGTGACATTCCTCTGCAGATGCTGGCAACGGTTGTTGTGTTACGGGTGGGAAAGGCCCTCCGAGTGATCACCTTCCCTGAGTTTGATGGTAGCATACCAAAAAAGGTGAGGAGTGCTAGTTCATTAAACTTCTGCATGTTGTCACGTGTTCGTCCTTTAACAGGTGTGGACCCCCCCATCCAAAAGAACACATGTCTACTCTAGGACAACTGTGCAAGCTGCTTTGTAATGGGTTGTTCTCATCTTGCTTGTTCAATATCTAGCTTCTTGTAATTGCAGACGTTTCCGCTACCTCTTCTATATGTGGGAAATCAAATAACAGGACTCTTTGGAACAAAAAGACTTAAGTATGATACAGTACCAGTCTTTAAAAACATTTCTGCCTTTTTTATGTTATACATTGATATAAAGATATACTCATAATCATTAAAAGTTTTTCCTTCCTTCAGTCTGCCAATGTTTACAGTATTGAGGAGGTTTTCTATTCTCTTTACAATGGTGGCGGAGGTTATCTTGTTAAAGTAAGTAAATGTTCTCTATTTACTATGGACAAGTTTCTGTTGGCTTACATGTAATTAATTAACATTGATTATGATAATAAAACAATCAATGATTATGTTCCTTGTTACAGGAAGAAATTCTCTCGACCAGTTCAGCTGACAGTATTTACTATGATTTTAGGGGCCTTTGTAGCTGCAAGGTAAAAAAAAAACGTTCCCACAGTGACGCATTGTTTTGACCAGTACAATTCAGCCTTATCTTTGTTGAAGTATGTGGCTATTCACTACTGTACGGAGTAAAGTTAATGTTTGCAAAAAGTGTCAACACAGATGTTAATTATAAATTGAGTATGAGGGGAAGACTGCAATCATTTCTGTGCGCATTTAATGACATATCTTATGTACAAGTCTTTGATAAGTGCTTTTATATTTCTTGTGCAGTGCTGACTTGGCATTTGACCTGCAAGGGTACATGTTCATTTTAATGAACGATGTCTTAACTGCTGCCAATGGAGCTTTTGTGAAACAGAAACTTGACTCTAAGGTAAGAAAGGCAACGCATTCACGATCAAGTCTACTCAAAGACCTCGAGTGCTCCCTTAAGCAGCTGTTCTCTGTTGTCTTTAATTGAGAAATATTGCTTTTCTGTGCTTGCACAAAATTAAGCAACTCCTCATACTTTGCAATAACTGAATGGTCTTAATTTTAACCCTACATTTTCTGAATTGCCATTTATGTTCTGAATCTCACAAAGTAATTCACTGCAAAATGTTATTTTGCTTTGCATCGTTTTTTTTCAAGGTTTTTGAGGATATGTCTCACAACCTCTCCATGCCTGCATCTGTCTAATTTGGTGTTCTCCATGTGACAGGGATTAGGAAGCATGTTGTCCTCATTTTAAGAGTTAATAAGCTTATTTATTTTGCTATCCTAACTTCAATCTTACCAGAACAGACCTGCAACCCCTTTTGGATTTTAAAACTGTCGAACTACTGTTTTTATCGTTTTTGTGTTGAGTGCTTTCTCATCTGTACTTTTGCTGCATCCAATTCGAGTAAAAGTAGTTCACATATGCATGTTCTAACTGTTTTAAGCGGAGACTTCAATTTATTTATTACATTGGTTGAATTTGTTGAAATGGAGAGTGCTTGGCAACCTGAGTGGTGTTTATTGCATTACCCCACTGACTGACTTGGATTGAATGTGGACTGATATGTCTTCTATTTGAGGAACTCCAGATGAACAGCTAGTAGTTTTATGGCTGTTACAGTTTTCATTGAAGAAGGTGGACTACATAGAAAGATTTATCAAGATAACTGAAAACTTCAACAATGAAGCCAAGATTATGCTCAGTTCCTGAAAAAAGACCTGTGGCTGTCTACAGCTGTTTACATATCATCTGGTTCTGTTTTAGCTAAAGGGCAGTTAGAATAAAGGGTGTGAGAGAAGAAGGAATCATGATATGGCATTACTGTACCTTATTTTTCTGTCTCTGTTTTTTTCTTGTTGTCTTTCTGTTCAATAGGAGCTTGGGAAGTATGGCCTGCTCTATTACAATGCTTTATTTATGATACTCCCAACTCTGCTTTTAGCACACATCACTGGAGATATTGACAAGGTAAGTCTCATGAACACACACACAAAAAATAAATAAATACATTCAGTCCAAGCACAGGCTGGATATAGGCTTTTTTAGTTTATTGTTATGTACAACGCCTCACAGCCATTTCATATCACATACCCATCACTTGATTGTAACACTTTCTTTTCCTTCCTTTTTGTTTTGTTTTTAAATGCTTGCTGTTTAAAGGTTTAGTTCACCCAAAAATGAAAAATCTGTTAATTAATTGCTCGCACTTATGTCTTTCCAACCCGTAAGACTTCCGTTCATCTTCAGAACACAAATTAATATATTTTTATTGAATCTTTCTGTCTCTCCATTGACAGCCTACACAACTACCACTTTCAAACCCCAGAAAGGTAGTAAAGACATCTAGTGTTGACTTTGTCGACGTAATCGACCATGCGAATTATTCGACAGCAATTTATTTAGTCGACGTGTCGTTTTAAAATTGATCACATATTTGTTATTGGTCTCCCGTCTCTAACGGCTCACTATAATTAACACCAGTCAGTGCGTTGTGGGCGCCCTGCTGGTTAATTTGCTATCCTCTTCCTTCCCCCTCCTCCTCCTTCACTGCGTTGATATGAAAAATTGGCTTTATACACAGCTGCACTACTTCCTGAACTTCAGCCAGCTCCTTGTTTCCTGTCTACCATTATTGGACAAACAGATTAATTCGGGTGTGCCTGACCTCAGTAGTCACGGCAACAATAATCAGACACCTGGATTAATCAGGTGTGTCTGATTTATTGTTATTGTTAAAGGGACAGAAATTTGATAAAAAAAAATTAAATCTTAATTTAAATTCTTTTTGGGTAAACTTTAACACTTTAAACAAGTGGATCCCACAACTGTTTAGCTTATGGCTCGTTTCCACTGAGTGGTACGGTACGGTACAGTTCGGTTCGGTTCTGCCAGGTGATCTTTGGTCTCGTGAATCTATAATTCGTTCCCTGGCCAATAGTTTTGGCAGAAGGCTACGTGAAGTTTCATATCTTTGAGCGCTGAATTTGTATATTTGACTGACTGAATTGTTTCTTGATTTTATTTAAGCTTTACTGTATATCTTTTTGTACTTTTTATTTATACTTTTATAATGGCTATTATTGATCAAACTGAAATTCAACAAAAAGAGATAGTTTTGTCATTTTTTTGAAAATTTTATTACCAGATCATCTGTAATGTTGTTTATTGCAACATTTGTACCAATGCGATAGCCTATGCAATAGCCTACATTACATTACATATTGCCTGGAATATGTTTTAATATTTTTAAATTTAAACGAAAAGAGGCAGGGTTTTTTTATATTCAGTTTTGTTATAAATATAACGTTACATAGGCTACATGCAGTGAATATAATCAATAGGCTATGCGTTGCCTGAACCATATTTGTGTGCTTTAGAATGTTTAAAATGTATTGAAATGAAATCGAAAAGAAGCAGAGTGGTGTTTTATAACATATTTCGTTTTATTGTTGCCTAAAATGAACATAACCGGAGTCATAGCCAGAGCGAGCAGAGTGCCCCGTTCAAGAACGCGCTGTTCCATTAACAGAATTACTGGACTCGCGTCCTCGGGATCATTCTCCTGAGTCAGACTTTGCGTTGGCTTCTTGGAAACGCAGAATGCCAGCGCTTGTTTCTAGTGACAAACATGCCGAGAAGCAAGAACAAGATCTGCTGTCTGTCATCCGTTGTTGTTTACTATGTTGCTTTCTTCGCGCGAAAATGACGTCGATCGCTTCTTTCCAGCATACCAGGGTACTGTTGGCGGTGGAACGCAAGCCTGATCATGCATGGTGTACCCGACCCGTACTGTACTGTACCGTACTGTACCGGACCCCTCAGTGGAAACGAGCAGTTGTAGGTGCTCTAACCCTGTTCCTGGTGGCACACCAACATTGCGCGTATTCTTTAGCCATTTCTCAATATGCTTTCTTGTCTGTACTTGTGTTTTTGTGGACTTGTGAAACGTCATCAGTCGATGCCCAAGTACTGTTCCAATTCAAAGTGTTCTTGATTCGCCCCGTTTACCGAGGATGCATCGAGAGGTGACTTGTGTGCCAGGTATCCCAAAATGTATCTCGCACCAACCAAATCCGTGAAATATCAAAATATACTGTTATTGTGTCATGACATGTAATTTTAAGAGTGTTTCAGGTGAGAATGTGATTGTTTAAATCTCAAATCTATGGTTTATTTATAAAGATAGCGCCTATTTTAAAAATGCATCTGACGTTTTCGAAGTTCTGACATCCAAGCCTTCACCGGCGCCCAGCGCTCTTCAACCCCGACTTGGACAGATTTTCCTCGGCTAGTACTTCTGACGTTTGCCGCTGGCTCTGATCTCTCAAGTCTAGTTGATAAACTTGACGTAAAATTCGTCTTGTGTATAAGTCTATCTTTGGTCTCATTAAACTATAGTTTGTTCCATGGCAAAAAAATTAGTTTTTTGAAGTTTCATAAATTTATATTTAGGCTATTTAACTTTAACAACATTTTTCACATTATCTTCACTATATGAGCAATAAAATAAAATTGCACAACCCTGTCTCTGTTTGATAAATGTGAATAAAAATCAATTTTCATATTTTTAAAATGAAAACAAAAAGATCAGGTTCATTTTGTTAGCCTATAAATATATGCAGTGAAAATAATCGGTTTGCCTGAACCACATGACCATTAGCCAATATGTTGATTTTTTTTTTAAATGAAAAGAGGCAGAGTGGTGTTTTATAACATGTTTCGTTTTATTGTTGACGAAAAGAGGCTGAGTTGTAGCATGTTTCGTTTTATTGTTGCCTAAAATATACATAAAGAGATAACGCAGTAGCCAGAGCGTGCTGATATGAGTGATACGATCAAGTACGCTCTGTTCCATTTGCAGAAGAACCGGACTTGCGTCCTCTCGTCCTTGGGAGTTCGTTCTTCTGAGTCGAACTTGGCAAGTCCGAAGTTTGCGTACTTGGTATTGAGAAACAGCTTTTGTCTCCCGTGTTGGGAGTAACGCATTACAAAAGTAATACATTACAGTAACATATTACTTTTTGCTGTAACGCAGTAGTGTAAGGCATTACTAATCAATTTTCAGTAATATTTTACTCGTTACATGTTCAGTGAGGCTTGTATTACAGTTGTATTACAGTGTATTGTCTGCTTTTACTTCTTAAAGGCAACAGACTGTGTGAAAGTTTTAAAGCAGTCTTTTAGTGCCAGGTCAGAGCGGTCGCGTCTGTAACATTGTTTTTTACTCATAAATGCGAACACGAAAACTAAAATAAAATGAATATTTTAAGTTCTATGGAGACTGGAGAGCCAACCCTTTCTCATCCGATTTGCGCAGTGTAATTAACAGAATTACAAAAAATATATTTTGCCTTCTATTTTTTTGTCACGCATGAATGTGTGTCTTTTCCCTAATATTAAAAATAAAACATAGACTGATATTTGTCTAATGTCTGGAGTCCTTTAAGGAAGTAGCCTATATACGTTTCAATACATGAATTTTCTGAGAATTTTTATTTCAAGTTTTGACTGCAAATGTCATGTCCATAATGCTGGACTTCCCCAATTTTAAATAATTTATCCTCAACTAGTTTTGTGGTGTAGGTCTACGTATTTTATAATGTTAACTTCAAATAATACTAATAGCCTAATTTAAAGATAAGGCAGCATTGGATATGGACGGTAAGGAGAATAACGCTGGAGTTGAAAGAGGTGTGTCGCGATTCTGTAGGTTCGTGGATGTGGCGAATCGCGATTTTGGTTTCATATTGCATATCGTTACAGCCCAAAAGTTAAGTTCTACTTAGTTATTTTGGTGAAAGTAACTCAAAAGTAATACATGAGTAATGTAACGCATTACAATTCTGGGACAGTAATATTGTAAGGTAATGAATTACTTTTAAATAACAGTAACAAGTAATACCTAATGTATTAGAGTTTGGAAGTAACTTGCACAACACTGCCCGTATCAAACACGCCTTATTCAACTCATCAGCTCATAATCACATGGGTTAATGAACTGATGAGTTGAATCAGGTGTGATTGATTAGGGAGACAAAGAATAGTGCAGTGTTGGTGTGCCGCCAGGAACAGGGTTGGGAAACACTGCGCTAGGCATATTTTGTCCTTGATTGGTTTCCCCTTTGTTGTCGTTGAAAAGAAAGTAAAAGTGACGCACGTTTGTAAAAATTTTACCGTGAAATGAGTGTCCTGTGCCTTTTTTTTAAATCAACACATCAATCATTCTCCCGTGACCCACCCAAAAGTAATTGGTAGGTTATTTTTTTAATTACTTGGCCCGTCCCAACTTGTGAATTTTCCGCATCACTAGCCTACACTTCGCTATAATTTAAGACGATATTTACATTTTAATTGCTTCATCTATTTATCTTTTATAATTTGTTTGCTGTTTGTTTAATGTTTGTCTTTGTAGGCTATTCTGTTTTTTTTTTTATATATATATGTACACCCAACTGCCTGTGTGCCACTAGTTCAAGAACAAGAAACATTATATGTATATATAATCATATAGCATATGATTATTTATTGTAATATAAATAAATATTATAGGCTATATATATATACTTTTTTTTTCCCTCAAGTAATGGCCGTCATGGATATTGGCTCATTAATATAATGTTTCTTTTTCTTGAGCTAGTTGCACACAGGTAGTTTGGTCATGCTCAGTTACATATAAGATATTGTTAAGATATCTAGTTTTTTCTAACAGTCCCATCTCTCAACAAGACCTCATGCATACCCATAGATGATCTGGCAACCACAAACACACCATCTGCTCAGCTGCCTTGAGCTGAGCTCACATTGCCAGGGAACACACACCATAAGTCGTTTGGAATGACTGTGCACGCTTGTCATAAATTCTTTTGAAATCATAGCAAGCTGACTGAGATACATTTCAGCATGTCTGTTCCTGCCTGAATGCTTTCCAATGAAGAAATAACTGCAATTTCTTAGTCAAAAAGTGTGCTAGTTAAATAAGCAGTGTGAGCACAAGGCTCAGTTGTTAGGGAGGTTAGGATGACAGGGCCCTGCTCCATGAATACCTCATTTTATTTAGCTCAGTTTGTTCACAGGGAGGCCCTAGTTTATTTGGCAGGCACTGCTTCAGGAAGGAGAGAGCACAGGAGGCAGTGTGTCTATGCACAAAGCCACCATTATACCAGTCAGTGTAACTATCAGATTGAATGTAGTAGCTTATGAAGTTTTATTCTTTAGGTATATTCTTTTTAGGCGAGTCCTTCACCTGTTTTAAGAGTTTTTAGATTTCTGTTGTTTTTAACCATCCATTTGAATAGATTTTTTGCAATTGTAATGAAAACAATTCATTGACCTACATGTTTATCTTACAATGTTTTTATAGTGGGTAATGTTTTTTTCATGCATCATTAATGTATTTTTTCCCTCCTTAGGCTTTCGATTATGAAGGCTGGTCAGATGTGTTTTTTATGAGTCAATTTATTCTCTCTTGTATAATGGGGTAAGTTGAAATAAAAACTTGTATTTTGTAAATATTGGGACTGTCAAAGTTGATGCATCCTGTTAATATGTTTAATGCTGTTTATGCAGTTTGACATAACTGTTTAATTAAATTTGGTGTGATTACTAAAACTGATTGCCAATAAAACAGTCATTTTAATTTTCTATTTGTATGGTGTAATTGGCATCAAAATTCAACAAATGAATTATCACCAAAAATGAAACCCCATTATAAAAATGCAAACACCAGCAGGTTCTTTACAGATATAAGTTTAAGTCGATAAAGTGCTAAGGAAGATAATTTAATTAATTAAATGCATTTTCTCATGGACTGCTATCAGTACTTTAAAGCCCCTGATTATATATTTTCGAATTGTGTATTAAGGTGCTGTCACATTTACCCTTGTTCGCAAATCTTTGCAGGACAAATCCAGTCATTTTATTGGGAATCTGCATGTTTTGGGGTTTCCTTTGGAGGCAAAAACTTTCCCTCACACATTAAGCTCATGTTGGTCATGCAAATTCATTGCACTGACCAACAGAAAAGCTGCTTGGTTTGAAAGTGTTAGCTGTGCTTTTAAATTGACAATTGACCTTTTTTGCCAGCCATATTTCGCCAATGTAACCGCACCTTTAGATTCATGATTTTAAGAATTCATCATTCAGCCACATTCATTCTATCTTCTGTTTCTTCATTTGCAGGTTCATTTTAATGTACTCCACTGTACTTTGCACTCAGTATAACTCTGCGCTAACTACTACCATTGTCGGCTGCTTAAAGGTAAGAATGTTTCTTAAACATACCAAGACACAAGATGCTGCGTTTGCTATATTAATGACTTTTCTGTCCCTGCAGAATATATTAGTGACATATATTGGAATGGTGTTTGGTGGAGATTACATTTTCTCATGGACTAACTTCATTGGTCTGAACATCAGGTATGAAGTGAGCTTTTCCCTGAAGGAAACAGATGGGGGATGCCAGTGTTTCCCCTAGGATTTTTTTTGCAGGGGGGGTGGTAGACCCCCGAAACTTCTAGTGCCGCAGAGCGGGCGTGTTATGGATATGTGGTGGGTTAGGTTCACAATATTTATAGGTATTTAGCAGTGATGATGTTGGGATTTTCTAGCTAATTGCCTAAACAAAATATGATGACATAATATAACAATATTTAACGACAAAGTTTTAAGTGGCTTCATAAATTAATTAAAAACATTAAATTAAGCAAAACACACCTGATGCACATTTAGGGCCCTATGAAATCGGTTTTATTTATTTTTTCTTCCAAAAATCAATGTTTTTTTCCGTTTTAATTAAAAAAAAATGTTGGACTCCATTTTAATGGTTGAATAAAAAGCATGTCTGATTAATTGATATCATTAAACTTACAAATATTAGACTTGTACAACATTTTAAAAAACACATGAAATTATTTTTTTTTCTTCACACAAATTTGGTGGTGTTTTTTTTTCTGTTAATCAAAAACATTAATTTATTTTAATCATATGAAATTAAACTTTTTGTCAAACAATGTGTTCCACAATGAGCTTTGGTGTTAAAATTAAAAGATTAGAAGTTTTGATGGCAACTTATTTGTATTAGTGTTAGTGTTATTATTATTATTACATTGAGACGTATCTACTGTACAACAGTAATGTATTTCCTGGCAAGTTAAACCGGACTTTAATTTTCACGGGTTGCTGTGAAGACCTTTGAGTTTCTGTACTTATGACATGACGATAGTTTTCTCAAATGAAGCAGTTAAATGCTCACAAAGTGGCTTTCAAAGTGGATCTAGAGACTGGAGATGAAGTTCATGCATTCGTGTCCTCATATAGGCAAAAAACAGCTCAAGCGTCACATGTGCACCATTCATTCACATCGTCTGCACCATTCATTCACACTGAACATGCAGGATTTGTATTTAAATAGTTTTTTTGCGGTTTAATAATCACACACGTCTTCATAGCGATTTAATTTCAAGTGTATTGAACTGGTATTTATTTAGAAATATTTAGACAAATACCGGGAAATTCACTTTTTTTTTACTGGATTCCGCGATAACGTCCGCGTTTTCATATCATATAGGGCTCTACACATTCGTTGTGCTTTATTTTATATAAGTAGAGTTTAAGCAACTTGCTTTTGTGTAATTAAAAGGTACGCCGTCATTTTTATTTTACTCCAATGCACTGCCCTAAATACAATCCTCCCACAGTTCCCAGGAGGACTTGAACGCAGGAACTTAAGGGCATGACGTCCAAAATAAACATGGTAGGGGAACACTGGATGCATGAATTCATTGTGATGCTAATGATAAATGTATATGTCTTTTCAGTATTGCTGGCAGTCTGGTGTATTCCTACATTACCTTCACAGAAGAGCAGACCAACAAACAGAGTGAGAATGCAAACAAGCTAGAGGTCAAAGGGAAAGTGGCTGTATGACCAATGGTTGGATGCTGCGAAGTTTTTTTGTATTTCTTGCCAGAGAAAGTAGGCAGAAGTCACTCCTAGGATTTTTTGGTTTGTTTTTGTGATATGAAGAAGATCTTGACTGTAAAAGCTACAGTAGGTGCAGGCAGGACGTTTCAAATGAAAGAGCTTCAAACATTCTGGAATATACACTCACATACAGGATTATTAGGAACACCTGTTCCATTCTCAATAATGCAATTATCTAATCAACCAATCACATGGCAGTTGCTTCAATGCATTTCAATCTCCTGAACTCCAAACTGAATGTCAGAATGGGAAAGAAAGGTGATTTAAGAGATTTTGAGCATGGCATGGTTGTTGCCATGCTCAAAAGTATTTTACAATCTGCTCAGTTACTGGCATTTTCATGCACAACCATTTCTAGGGTTTACAGAGAATGGTGTGAAAAGGGAAAAACATCCAGTATGCGGCAGTCCTGTGGACGAAAATGCCTTGTTGATGCTTGAGGTCAGAGGAGAATGGGCCAACTGAGTCAAGCTGATAGAAGAGCAACTTTGACTTAAAAATAACCAATTGTTACAACCGAGGTATGCAGCAAAGCATTTGTGAAGCCACAACACGTACAACCTTGAGGCGGATGGGCTACAACAGCAGAAGACCCCACCGGGTACCACTCATCTCCACTACAAATAGGAAAAAGAGGCTACAATTTGCAAGAGCTCACCAAAATTGGACAGTTGCCTGGTCTGATGAGTCTCGATTTCTGTTGAGACATTCAGATGGTAGAGTCAGAATTTGGCGTAAACAGAATGAGAACATGGATCCATCATGCCTTGTTACCACTGTGCAGGCTGCTGGTGGTAGTATTATGTTGTTAGGGATGTTTTCTTGGCACACGTTAGGCCCCTTAGTGCCAGTTGGGCATCGTTTAAATGCCACGGCCTACCTGTGCATTTTTTCTGACCATGTCCTTCCCTTTATGGCCACAATGTACCCATCCTCTGATGGCTACTTCCTGCAGGATAATGCACCATGTCACAAAGCTCGAATCATTTCAAATTGGTTTCTTGGACATGTTCACTGTACTAAAATGGCCCACACAGTCACCAGACCTTAACCCAATAGAGCATCTTTGGGATGTGGTGGAACGGGAGCTTCGTGCCCTGCATGTGCATCCCACAAATCTCCATCAACTGCAAGATGCTATCCTATCAATATGGGCCAACTTTTCTAAAGAATGCTTTCAGCACCTTGTTGAATCAATGCCACGTAGAATTAAGGCAGTTCTGATGGCGAAAGGGGTCAAACACAGCATTAGTATGGTGTTCCTAATAATCTTTTAGGTGAGTGTATGTTGTTCCAGAGTAAATATTTGCCTGTTACTTTTCACTTCTGTGAAGAAGTTGTCCGTTACAAATTAATGGAATAAACTGTTTTCCTTGGCATGTTGGACACTTATGATACAATGGGTTTGATGACTGTCATTACTGTTGAAACACCCATTGTATTGCTTATTGAAGAGTTTTAAATATTTGTTTTAGTCCGTAAGACTATTTATTCTTTATGAGAGATTGTTTTATTGTTAGGATTGTAAATTGGTTTTATTGTTGGGTAAAATATTTTCCTTGCTATGAAAAGGGAGTTATTTGATACTTTTTTAAAATAGTTATTTGACAGTTCTGGTACCCTGTTGAGTTTTACATGAATGTTCATTCAAAACCTGAATGGTACATTGAATGTGAGTTTAAAATAAGGTACATGTGTGCATCTTATGAGTATCTTGATAAGCTTTAAAGAGGAAATTTTAAGCATTGTTAGTGTTAATGTTCAACTGGACAGATTCTTATAACTGCTTTTGTATTTGGGAATGGGATGCAGTATCTCCGTTTGCTTTGTACTGATGGAATAATGGTTGTTTAAAGGCAATTAGTGTAGTAATTGCACTTTAACAGTTTACAGCTTTTCTCAGTTGTCAGTGATTTAAACATGGGTATTCATTTTTGCAATCACATTGAAATAGAAGTTACAAGAACATTTCAGTATTTTGATCTGTCTTTGTTAAACATTATTATTGTTGGCATGAATCAGAAAGATTTTTTTTTCTTCTATTACTTGTGTTGGCATTTTGGATCATTTGATAACATCACTGGTTTCTCAGTAATGTTTTGTGCTAAACATATTTTACATCTGGATATCCCGATGTATTCAGCAGTTATTAAATGAATGTCCATTCTTATTCATGTATCCACTTTTTGAAGAATTTGTTTGTCCATTGCCTAGAGATTGTTTTATAAATAAAGTGCATTTTTGCGCTTTTTTTTTATCCTCTGATGTCTTCAAAGGCATTTGTTGCGGATGTATTTTATGTGTTCAACTTGTTCATTTTTTTTCTTTATTTTTTTTTCATGTTTTTGTACAGTTTAGTTCAAGAAACTCCTCTTTGTCAAATTCATGTCTGCAAATGCTCAGTGATTGTATTAGTGATCAACAGGAAATGTAAAACATGTTAAATAAAACCTCAATTCTGATAAATTAAATAAATGCTTTTCTTTTTTTAAAAAAAAAATTATCATCGTCTTATTTCTTCTGTGGCAATAAATTGTCTACTACTTTCCCTACAGTTGAAATCTATATGATTTGTGTTAAAAAAAAATCACAAGAATTGGCTAACAAATACAAATTAAACCGCTTAAGATTAATATTAGGGGGAACAATCATGGTAGAGGTAAGAGTAATTTGTTGAATAAAACAAAACTTGTACATTCAAAATCCTTTTCTAAAAACATGAATTCATAAGAGAACCCATGGCTTGAAAATGATAATTCTCGTGCAGTTTTTAGTTCTACAAACTGGTTGGGATTTGAAGAATCAAAACACCCATGTTGTGACTTGATACATGTAAAAAAAAAAAAAAAAAAAAAAAAAAAAAAGCTGGAAGGGGTATAACATAAACCAGTGATTCTTATGCGAAAACATAAATAAATAATAATAATAATATAAAGTAATTTAAAACGTACTGCAGAAGGTAAAACTGGCAGATTCTCAAAATATAGTTTTTTTTGTATTACATTTCTAATTACTTTATTTTGGAACTATGTTTGGATAACAAAACGAGTTCATTTAGCTAACCGACACATCTGATTTCAGGTTTTATATTACATATTTTAAAATGAGCCTAAAGAAAATAAATTTTGAAATATTCGTATGTTGATAATTACGATGTACTTGTCAACTTTTTGCAGGACTTTTATTTTGTAGGACTCACAGTAGTCCAGCTCTGCTCATTTTCAGAGTTGAGAATAAACCACATTTACTATCGCTGGCTTCACAGAACCCACAACGACAACAACTATGGCGGAGGTGAAAGAAATATTACAATTTACAGCAAATAACGCACTTTTGCGGTCAACATAGCCGTTTAATAGATGTAATTTAATTTTAAATTTTAAACGTTTTAAGGATGACGTGCTTCTTAACATTCAGCCCTGCATAGTTAGCAAACAAGTTAAGGCGCCCAATTTGAATGGGTTAGCAGTTAGCTGCTAACTTGTTGCCTCTTTGCGCTAAACTCACCTCTAGTTTATTCCTCTGTGTTTTTATTGAGTAAAACGAATACTTGTTAAATAGTTATAACCCAGACTATCATGTTATTTGGACTCCCGTTCTTTTACACGAGGTTGTATGTGGTTTAGCTTATTTGTTTATGACTGTAACTGATAATAATTCATAATCAGTTCATAATTTCATCTGTTCTCTCATGTTTTTGGTTGTTAAGTGTTGACTTATTATTTTATAGGCTCAAACATTTAAATTTAATTCTCTTTTCAGCCCTCCCTAAGTGGTTCTGGCACTGAAGGTAAAGATTTAAATTATTTTTTTGAAATTCATTTATTTTGACTTGCAAGAACAAAATTCAAGTAGGCCGTAAAGCCCACTTTCATTTTATTGTATAATATTATATAATGTGTACTTTTAATATATTTAATTTATATCAATAATATATGTACATATATATATATATATATATATATATATATATATATATATATATATATATATATATTGTATTAATATAATTCTATTCATTAATAAAAGAAATGTCTGTGATAAACAGGAGCAGATCCAGTGGTGCAGGATGACGACAGGGACTTTGATCCTTCAGCAGACATGCTCGTTCACGACTTTGATGATGAGCGGACTCTGGAAGAGGAGGAAAAGCTGGAGGGAGAGAAGAACTCCAGCACCGAAATTGATGACCTGACTCGAGTATGGGCCGCCTGTTCTTTTCTAGAATTTATGATGAGGCTCATTAAATAACTTTCATAGGTCTCAATTAACTATGGTTTTGTAGGAGGGCGATATGCCCATCGAGGAGCTTCTAAAATTATATGGCTACAGCACTGGTGGGTCTCCAGAGGAAGAGGATGGAGATGTTCAAGAGGAGGAGGATCCTTCAGAGAATACTTGCAGCAGCTATAGTAAACTCAAAGTAAAGATCTATATGAAAAACATCTAATGTATATTGTATCTTCCTAGTATGATTTTGTGTTAATAAATGTAAATCCATTTTCTGCCGTGTATGTCAGGAGGAGGAGAGGCGAGAGCTTTCTGATCAAGAGAATGAGGATGTGCAGTCGTCCAGTGATGAGCCTCCGTCCAGCAGTGTGTCTCACAGCACAGCTCAACTTATCTGGCATCGGCCATCCAATTACTTTGAAGGTTTGATTATAAAAATATTACATTATCAATATTACATATCATATCAAGCTCATTTTATACAAGAAGTGAAACAGCATGTTGTAGAGCTTAAGTATCAACTGTCATGTTATACATTTTTATTTAGGGAGGTTTTAGATATACAGTAGTCAACATTTGAAGTAGATCATGGAAAAAAGAAAACTGAGTATGGATCAATATGTGTTTCTAGACTATTGCCCCTAGTTTCCAAAAATATGAAATTAAATGATAGAATTAATAAATAAGAATTAAGAATATGTTATCACTTTGAGAAAACCAATAGAGAGAAAAAAAATATTTAAAGGTGACTGCACTATATACTAGGGCTGCAACAACTAATCGATAAAATCGATTATAATCGATTATGAAAATCGT